CTACAGCTATACTACAGCTATACTACAGCTATACTACAGCTATACTACAGCTATACTACAGCTACACTACAAGTTGTAGGTTCCCAGCTATACTACAGCTATACTACAGCTATACTACAGCTACACTAGAAGTTGTAGGTTCCCAGCTATACTACAGCTAAACTACAGCTACACTACAGCTATACTACAGCTATACTACAAGTTGTAGGTTCCCAGCTATACTACAGCTATACTACAGCTATACTACAGCTATACTACAGCTATACTACAGCTATACTACAGCTATACTACAGCTATACTACAGCTATACTACAGCTATACTACAGCTATACTACAAGTTGTAGGTTCCCAGCTATACTACAGCTATACTACAGCTATACTACAGCTACACTAGAAGTTGTAGGTTCCCAGCTATACTACAGCTAAACTACAGCTACACTACAGCTATACTACAGCTATACTACAAGTTGTAGGTTCTCAGCTATACTACAGCTATACTACAGCTATACTACAGCTATACTACAGCTATACTACAGCTATACTACAGCTATACTACAGCTATACTACAGCTATACTACAAGTTGTAGGTTCTCAGCTATACTACAGCTATACTACAGCTATACTACAGCTATACTACAGCTACACTACAAGTTGTAGGTTCCCAGCTATACTACAGCTATACTACAGCTATACTACAGCTATACTACAGCTACACTACAAGTTGTAGGTTCCCAGCTATACTACAGCTATACTACAGCTACACTACAAGTTGTAGGTTCCCAGCTATACTACAGCTATACTACAGCTATACTACAGCTATACTACAGCTACACTACAAGTTGTAGGTTCCCAGCTATACTACAGCTATACTACAGCTACACTACAAGTTGTAGGTTCCCAGCTATACTACAGCTATACTACAGCTACACTACAAAAAATATACATTATGGACGCTTTATCAAAGTCTGGAAAATTATGGGTAATAACTACGCAAGTTACGTTTTTAAGTAATTATGACGTAACTGCATTACTTGTTTCTAGTTTACATTAGTCAGTTTCCAGTTATTAATATAAATTTCTGGAGCTTAAGTATTTGTTTGCAGTATTTCTTGCAACAGTTATTGCACATCTCAGGATACCATTAACATAATTAACAATGCAACCATTATTAGGTCTCGTTTAACATAATCTGCAGAATGAATTGTAGATGCATTGTAGATAGTCCTTGCTAAATAAAATTTAGAGCATACATTGTAGCAGTCATTGTTCATTATAGAGCACCTTAAACAATATCCAGTATGCACTTCAGCAATCACATTACAGCTCCTGTAACCCGTGACTTTATGTTACAGACTGTGCCTATGAGCTTGGGTGGACTGGGAAGTACCCCGGTGTACGTGGTGATGCCCTCCCCCGGGGCAGGAACCTCGCAGGGTCAGCCGCAGGGAGGAGCCTTCCTGCAGGATCTACTCAGGAACATTCCCTATACTCCCAACCACGGCGGCGTCACCATCTACGAACTACCAGAGAGTGCGCAGCAGCAGCAGCAGCAGCAGCAGCAGCGGCAGCAGCAGCGGCACAGGGTAGGCGCTGTAGCGGATGGTGGATAATATGGAGTGAGACTGCAGGTAGAGAGGGTTATTCTGATATTGTAAGAGTGGATAAAATTTATCAGGGGTGGATAAGGTATGTCAGAGGAATCATGTGTATCAGGAGGTGGATAAGATGCATCAGGGGGGAAGGATAAGATGCATCACAAGGGGTGGATAAGATGCATTAGGAGGTGGACAAGGTATGTCAGGGGTGGATAAGGTGTGTCAGTGTGGATAAGGTGTCTCAGGGGGTGGATAAGGTGTCTCAGGGGGTGGATAAGGTATGTCAGGGGTGGATAAGGTATGACAGGGGGTGGATAATATCCACCAGAAAGTGTTGTCTGTATTTAGAGGAGTTTCCTGATGACTGACACTCCCCCCCCCAGCCTTCCTGAGTTCCTAAGAGGTGTGTTGACCTAATAAGCCGGGATGCACTAACAACCAACTAAGTGTGCAGATAACTGGTCCAGAGAACCGACAAGTTGGTAAATTAGACACACGTGCAGCACTTGGGTATATTTACTGTGGACACGTTACTCCAGCCAGTGGCTTCATCAGTCCAATACAGGGAAGAACAGTGGAAGATGAGGAGGAGTTTGAGGTAATCAGTCCCTCACACACACAGTAGCGACCAGTGAAGAGACGGGGCCAGGAGCTATGACACGACCCATGCAACCACAAATATATGAGTACACACACGCACAGAGGTGTCCCTGTTCGCAGATGATGTGAAGTTAATGATGAGAATTAAATCAGATGAGGATCAGGCAGGACTACAAAGAGACCTGGACAGGCTGGACACGTGGTCCAGCAACTGGCTCCTCAAATTTAACCCCGCCAAATGCCAAGTCATGAAGATCGGAGAATGGCAAAGAAGACCGCGGACTGAGTATAGGCTAGGTAGCCAAAGACTGCAAACATCACTCAAGGAAAAAGATCTTGGGGTGAGTATAATACTGAGCACATCTGAAGTGCACATCAAAACTGCGGCCAGCAGTAACAGCCTAGTTGATCAGGCCCTGATCCATCGGGAGGCCTGGTCATGGACCGGGCCGCGGGGGCGTTGATCCCCGGAATAACCTCCAGGTAAATAACCTCCAGGTAACCAGATAATTGCTGCAGTATATGGGCGCCTGGCAAACCTGAGAATAGCGTTCAGATACCTTAGTAAGGAATCGTTCAAGACATTGTACACCGTGTACGCCAGGCCCATACTGGAGTATGCAGCACCTGTTTGGAACCCACACCTGGTCAAGCACGTCAGGAAATTAGAGAAAGTGCAAAGGTTTGCAACAAGGCTAGTTCCGGAGCTCAGGGAATTGTCGTACGAAGAAAGGTTGAGGGAAATCGGACTGACAACACTGGAGGACAGGAGGGTCAGGGGAGACATGATAACGACATACTAAATACTGCATGGAATGGCTAAGGTAGACAGAGACAGGATGTTCCAGAGAGGAGACACAGAAAAAAGGGTCACAATTGGAAGATAAAGATTCAGACGAGTCAGAGGGGTGTTAGGAAGTATTTCTTTAGTCGTAGAGTTGTCAGGAAGTGGAATAGCCTAGCAAGTGATGTAGTGGAGGCAGGAACCATACATAGCTTTAAGATGAGGTATAACATAGCTCAGGAAGCAGAGAGAGAGTGAGAGGACCTAATAGCGATCAGTGAAGAGGCGGGGCCAGGAGCTGAGTCTCGACCCCTGCAACCACAATTAGGGGAGTAAAATTAGGTGAGTACACACACAGAGATGTGACTCGACCCCTGCAACCACATATATGTGAGTACACGTTAACATTAATACCGCCTCTCCACTCCCTCATCTCCAGGGCACAGATTCGGTACCAATGTCAGCAGCATCATGGGATGGCTCACGATGGTCGGCATCCTCGGATCATTTCCGCGGAGACCACCCGACACCCACCGCAACGGCGAGCTACGACGACCGCAACGCAGGACGGGCGCGGTGGGGTGACCGAGGTGTGGGCGTGGGTCACCTGTGGGCCCCAGGGGATGAGTCTTCCCCAGGGACCCGCGGGGGTGAAGTGTTACCACCAGCCTGGGCAGATCAGAGTGAGGAGAGTGTCCTGCCGGGCGCTCCCATGTCCAAGCCTGGCCAGAGGTCAGTACTGATCCTGTGTCTTCACCTCATACATGAGTACCTAGCGATGATACATATGTTCAGCTGATACATAAGTATGTTCAGCTGATACATAAGTACGTTCAGCTGATACATAAGTATGTTTAGGTGATACATAAGTATGTTCAGCTGATACATAAGTATGTTCAGGTGATACATATGTTTAGGTGATACATAAGTATGTTCAGCTGATACATAAGTATGTTCAGCTGATACATAAGTACGTTCAGATGATACATAAATATGTTCAGATGATTCATAGGCACGTAGACATGATACATAACTACGTAGACATGATACATATTTACGTAGACATGATACATAACTACGTAGACATGATACATATTTACGTAGACATGATACATAGTTACGAAGAAATTCGCAAATATTGGACAAGTGTCTTATTCTTTAAGTCCAATAATAATTCAACAAAATAATTCATGCATAAATAATTGCTACAGTTTATGTCAGGATCTTGAAATTATTCTTGATATTAAATAATATGGAAATTATCCTTTACAATAACCTTTCAATTTAACCTTTTTACTGTAAGAATATATTCGTTTTCCAGTAATTGTTTACAAAGTGACTGGCCCAAGCTGGAATACACAGTTGTTGTTGTACCTTAAAGTTCACAGACTTGTTGGTAAATGAACTTGCAAATCGAAGCATTTGAGTCATTAAGAGGCATTGTTGAAAGCTAGGAGAGGCATTATGGTGACTATTTATTCCATCACGAGGGGCTATGACAGAACAAACTCTGAAATTAGTAATGCAGAAGACTAGATGGAACAATACACAGATAACTCGCACGTAGGAGAGAGACCCTTGCGACGATGTTACGGTCCGACTTGGTCTATTTACAAAGTTACACTAACACAAGAGAGAGAGGAAGACAATGCATATAGGCGAGCTGAGGCGAGGGGGACTGTCCAGCTCGCCTATACGTATATACTAGCTCTCTCTCTCTCTCTCTCTCTCTCTCTCTCTCTCTCTCTCTCTCTCTCTCTCTCTCTCTCTCTCTCTCTCTCTCTCTCTCTCTCTCTCTCTCTCTCTCTCTCTCTCTCTCTCTTGTGTGTGTGTCTTTGTAAATGGTCCAAATCGCAAATCGGACTGAAACTTTGTCACAAGCTTCTCTCTTTTGTTGTTCCAGTCACGGTGTTGTGCCTCTTTGTTATTTACGATATGAAATATTGTTTTAAGTCGCGAAGTGAGCAGTGTTGAGGTGACTGTTAGACGTGTTGAGGTGACTGTTAGACGTGTTGAGGTGACTGGTAGACGTGTTGAGGTGACTGATAAACGTGTGTCTGCAGGACTTACGCTCGAGGCGGTGGAATGATGAAGATGGATCCAGAGGAAGTAGCCGAGAGGGAGAGACGCAAGAAGCAAGCAGAGGAGACACAAAGAATAATTAAGTTACAGGTATGACAACCGTCTCCCAGCAGCGAAATGTTTTCACGGGTTTCTTATAGATGTAAGTAAGTTTATTTAAGTTGAGGTACACATAAGTACAATTATCATGTGTAGTTTACCATCGCAAGACAAGCCACGGGGGATAGAAATCTTCATCTCAAGATCGTTCACAAGTTTGAAAGATCTCCGTGCTAGGAGACCTTGCATTAAGATCGCCTGTCTGCGAGTATATTGTATAATGACTCAAGAAATCGTAACGACACGATTACAAACAAACCACGGTACGGGCAGGGATTGAACTCGCGGTGAGTGAGCCGTAAAACTCCAGACCGACCTAGCTGATGAATCTTATTGAAGCCAGCTGGCCCGGTGGCTAACGCGTCGGTCTGGAGTTTTACAACCCACCGCCAGTTCAATCCCCACCCGTACCGTGGCTTAACATGTGCAAATTACTTAAAATAATTCCAAAAACTCAGACGTTAACAGATATTAACATTGCTAACTAATGAAGGGTTGTAAGAAGACGTGAGTTACCACTACAGTATTTATATTCAGAAAATATTTCATTCCTCGTACCTTTACTCCCAGAACTTAAAGTTACACTACGTCAAACTATTTATACTAAGTTTAATACTAGCCGCTTCTCCTGATATTTTTTTTTTTTTTCCACATTCTGTAATCTTTTTTTAGATTAATTAGTATTTCTGCTAACATATTATTATTAAAAAATATTTATCAAGGCGTCAGTAACAAAAACTGGACAACACAGCTAAATGTTTATTATTATTTTTATTATTATTTTTTATTATTATTATTATTATTATTATTATTATTATTATTATTATTATTAATTATTATTATTATTATTATTATATTATTATTATAAACATTTGAAGACGCTAGACTCGGATAAAAAAATCAAACTGGAGGCAAACAGGTTGACCCAAGGAAGGGAAGGGTGGCTGTAATCCCTTGGACGAAGAGCCCTTGATCAGCATGAAGGTCCTCCCCTCTGTCATGGTGTTCTTAACCCGCAGCTGGAGGAGAAGAAGCGGCAGAAGGCGGTGGAAGAGGAGCGGGAGAAGCGTGAAGCTGCACTCTGGGAGGAGAGAGTCAAGGAACAGCAGGAGAGAGAAGCTCGGGAGTACCAGGAGGAAATCAGGAAGAAACGAGAGAAAGAGGTAATATATGTGTGTATTTACATAACTATGCCTGTTAGTAGGGGTTGAGCTCTAGTTCATGGCTCCTGGTGTGGTTTATACACTGCCCTATTGGGTTATGTATAGAGTTAGCATCTCTACACTCACACTGAAAGCATTCTCTCGTACGACCTTTCATACATCTGAACTTCAAGTTTCCAGATGTGTCTCCTCGTTCTCCTGTTGCTCATCTCAAATAATCTATCCAAATCACCTTCATTTTTTTTTTTTTTTTGAGAAACTGGGAAATTTATATATTGTGATCATGTCTTTTCTGGATTTCCTGTTTTTTTTAATGACATAAGATCTAGCTCTCGTAATATATCTTGATATTTCAGTCATTTTAATTCATAAAGATATCTAGTATGAACCTGGTATCAATTCACCTGTGACATGACCTGATCTTTGCTTGCTCCTCTACTTTCCTGTTGACCTGTCTTCTGTATTTCTTTTGTTTTACCTGACCTCTGACTCTCCGCTTTCTTGCTTTATCTTCTTTCCTAGGTTGTGCCAGTAGGTCTACCGTAGTGCTTCTCTTTCCTAGGTTGTGCCAGTAGGTCTACCGTAGTGCTTCTCTTTCCTAGGTTGTGCCAGTAGGTCTACCGTAGTGCTTCTCTTTCCTAGGTTGTGCCAGTAGGTCTACTGTAGTGCTTCTCTTTCCTAGGTTTTTGCCAGTAGGTCTAAACCCTAGTGCTTTCTTTCCTAGGTTGTGCCAGTAGGTCTACCGTAGTGCTTCTCTTTCCTAGGTTGTGCCAGTAGGTCTACCGTAGTGCTTCTCTTTCCTAGGGTTTTGCCAGTAGTCTACCCTAGTGCTTTTCTTTCCTAGGTTGTGCCCCGTAGGGCTACTGTAGTGCTTCTCTTTCCTAGGTTGTGCCAGTAGGTTCCCAGCGTAGTGCTTCTCTTCCTAGGTTGTGCCAGTAGTCTAAACCCTAGTGCTTCTCTTTCCTAGGGTTTTGCCAGTAGGTCTACTGTAGTGCTTTTCTTTCCTAGGTTGTGCCAGTAGGTCTACCATAGTGCTTCTCTTTCCTAGGTTTGGCCAGTAGGTCTACTGTAGTGCTTCTCTTTCCTAGGTTGTGCCAGTAGGTCTACCGTAGTGCTTCTCTTTCCAGGTTGTGCCAGTAGGTCTACTGTAGTGCTTCTCTTTCCTAGGTTGTTCCAGTAGGTCTACCGTAGTGCTTCTTTCCTAGGTTGTGCCAGTAGGTCTACTGTAGTGCTTCTCTTTCCTAGGGTTTTGCCAGTAGGTCTACCGTAGTGCTTCTCTTTCCTAGGTTGTGCCAGTAGGTCTACCCAAATGCTTCTCTTTCCCAGGGTTTTGCCAGTAGGTCTACCGTATGCTTCTCTTTCCTAGGTTGTTCCAGTAGGTTTTACCGTAGTGCTTCTCTTTCCTAGGTTGTGCCATAGGTCTACCGTAGTGCTTCTCTTTCCTAGATTGTGCCAGTAGGTCTACTGTAGTGCTTCTCTTTCCTAGGGTTTTGCCAGTAGGTCTAAACCCTAGTGCTTCTCTTCCCAGGTGTTCCAGTAGTCTACCGTAGTGCTTCTCTTTCCTAGGTTGTGCCAGTAGGTCTACCGTAGTGCTTTCTTTCCTAGGTTGTGCCAGTAGGGCTACTGTAGTGCTTCTCTTTCCTAGTTTGCCAGTAGGTCTACTGTAGTGCTTCTCTTTCCTAGGTTGGCCAGTAGGTCTACTGTAGTGCTTTCTCTTTCCTAGGTTGTGCCAGAGGTCTACCGTAGTTGCTTCTCTTTCCTATGTGTTCCAGTAGGTCTACCGTAGTGCTTCTCTTTCCTAGGTTGTGCCAGTAGGTCTACCGTAGTGCTTCTCTTTCCTAGGTTGTGCCAGTAGGTCTACTGTAGTGCTTCTCTTTCCTAGGTTGTGCCAGTAGGTCTACTGTAGTGCTTCTCTTTCCTAGGTTGTGCCAGTAGGTCTACTGTAGTGCTTCTCTTTCCTAGGTTGTGCCAGTAGGTCTACTGTAGTGCTTCTCTTTCCTAGGTTGTGCCAGTAGGTCTACCGTAGTGCTTCTCTTCCCCTTGAGGTCAGAAGTAATTCACTCTCATTACCGTGTTACTAGTCCTGTCTGGCGTAGGTCAGTAATCTGCAGTCATAATAACCAACTCTGAGGTAAAGAGAGAGAGAGGGAGAGAGAGAGAGAGAGAGAGAGAGAGAGAGAGAGAGAGAGAGAGAGAGAGAGAGAGAGAGAGAGAGAGAGAGAGAGAGAGAGAGAGAGAGAGAGAGAGAGAGAAAGAGGAAAGGGAAAGGGAAAGAGGTAATTGGCCAGCCCTTTGCTCTGAGCTCGCCACCACCGACTGGAATGCTCTTCTCCAGGGGGATGTTGACAACCAAGTGAAAGCCTTCACTGGACACATCCTTAATCTGCAACAAGAACACATTCCTCACCGGCAATATGTGACAAAGCCTACAGATCAGCCTTGGTTTGGCTTTCGTTGTAGAGAGGCTGCTACTGCTAAGTACAAAGCATGGCGAAGGTATAAGAGACATCCTACCACCTATAACAGGAACTTGCACATGCAAGCCTGTAGGCATATGGGTGATGTTCAAAAGTGGGCCATTGCTAAATGGGAGTTGGACACTAAAAGAAAGTTAGCATCAGGTAGGGTAGGCTCCAAAACCTGGTGGTCCCTGGTCAAGGACAGACAAGGTTATCTGCCTGATGAACTTATTCCACCTCTAAATCGACAGGATGGGACCACCTCTACTAGTAGTCAAGAGAAAGCGGACCTCTTTGCTGAACACTTTGCTACCAAAATGCAAGTTCCTGATCCAGCAAGGGACCCTCCTTGGCTAGCTGCAAGAACTGTGTCAAAACTGTCAGGGGTGACAATAAGGCAGGAGGAGGTGCATTTCCTTCTTAAATCACTTGACCAAGAAAAGGCTGTGGGCCCAGACAAGTTGAGCCCAAGATTGTTGAGAAGATGTGCAGACCAGCTAGCAGCACCTCTAACTCGCATCTTTCAACACTGCCTAGTACAGTGCAAATGGCCCTCTCCATGGAAAGAGGCAAATGTAGTCCCTGTTCACAAAAAGAAGAGCAGAGCAGAAATCAGCAACTACAGACCAGTGTCACTCCTGTCAATCACTGGTAAGATCCTTGAGACAATAATCTCAAGACAAATGACAGATTTTTTTGACTACCACTCACTACTTTGTGATCGTCAATATGGCTTCAGGAAAGGTTACTCTGCTGCTGATCTGTTGTTAAACCTCTCCACTAAGTGGCACCAGTCACTGGATGAATCCAAAGTCAGCTGTGTGGTAGCACTGGACATTGCTGGCGCTTTCGACCGGGTGTGGCACCAGGGCCTCTTAGCAAAACTTCAAGCACTGGGAATTGCAGGCTCTACGCTATGTCTCCTCAGTGATTACCTTCATGGTAGATCTCTAAGTGTAGTCCTCAATGGAACGGAATCAGCAAGACATCCTATTGGGGCAAGCGTTCCACAAGGAAGTGTGCTGGGTCCACTGTTATGGAATGTCTACTTCAACGACCTTCTTCATCTCATCCCAGAATCACATGCATATGCAGACGACTGTACACTGACATTCACTTATCCAAGAGAAGAAATGCCAGCTGCTCTAAGCTACATCAATCACCAGCTGAGAGCTATATCAGCTTGGGGAAATAGATGGCAAGTAACATTTGCACCTGAGAAAACGCAAATGATGATCGTCTCTAGGCACCATGATGATAATGCTGGTGCAGTAGTAAGGATGAATGGGAGGATGTTGGCACCTGGAGAAGAAGTTGATATCCTTGGGGTGAAATTTGACTCCAAACTAACCATGAAGAACCATGTTGTAAATCTTGCAAACAAGGCAGCCAGGAAGCTTACAGCACTTCGCCGTATCTCGCATCTGCTTGACAGTAGGGGTTGCAAGATCCTGTACGAGGCACAAGTACGCTCACACCTTGAGTATGCTCCACTTTCTTGGTTTGCCTGTCCCCCCTCTCATCTGCGACTGCTTGACAGAGTAGAGAACAGAGCAAGACGTCTCATCTCTCGCCTGGACCCATCCTGGATGGATCTGTCATTTCAGCAGAGCCTTCAACATAGGAGGGATGTGGGTGGCCTTACTGTTATGTACAAGGCCAATATTGTCAAAATACCACACTTGGATCCACTTCGAGGACAGCGCGAAACAAGCTTTTATGCCACAAGAGGGGCAGAAAGCAGCAACTTCACTCTGGCTGTACCCTTCCCCAGAACATCACTCCATCTGAGATCATACATACCCAGATGACTCGAGTATGGAACACATTCGTACAGCATAATGATGTCAACGAGATAACGTCAGTTGATCAAATGAAAATGCTGGCCCACAGATGGCTCCAACTTCATCCTGTTCCCCTACTTGTATGTCTCATAACAATAAAAATGCTTTCAAATGAGCTGATGTAGGTAACAGCTCTTAGCTTGTCAATAAAGTTAGGAATCCTTAACCTGTAAATAGCTTGTCAATAAAGCTAGGGATCCTTAACCTTGTCAAACCATGTGTAAAAAAAAAAAAAAAAAAAAAAAAAAGAGAGAAAGTGGGGACAGATGAAGAATAGCGCCGGAGAGGAGTGTCTTCAGTCGTGGAAACAAAGCCAGGGATCTAAACCCATGACTGGCGCGTTTGATGGCTAAGTTGAGGGTAGCAGAATACAGGTTGAGGACAGATGGTAGGCGCTCGAGTTTAATTTACTGTCTTGGTTTGAATAATTTTTTTTGAGATTTTTAAACATTTTCTAAAAAATACGTGAGTTGTACATAGTTGTGGAAGTCTTCATTTAATTGTTTCACATTTTTTTTTTAATTGTGGTGGTGTGAAAATATAGGGGACAACGGAGGTGTACTTGATAGATATTCTTGATCGAGGGTGTACTGGAGAATCGTAGGTTTTGACAGGTGAGGCTGGGAGTGAGATAGCTTACTTCACACTCTTCTACAGAGGTGTGTGAGTCTTCATGCTCTGGCGTTGTTATGGAGGTGATGGCAGGCATGACAGTCTTGGGTTTCTTGGGAGGTTGCAGCTGGTAGATCTGGAGCGCCCTTGGCGGCAGTAGGAAGGACTTTTAGCATGTATGTGAATGGTGCAGTGTCAGGAAACTTGAAGCTAGGCAGGTCGTTGAGGTGAAAGCGTTCGTTGATAGTAGAGTTGAAGGAGGTCCCAGAAAAGCAGGGTTTTGGATGTGAGCGTAGATCATGTAGTACATAATCTTGATGGCAGCCTCATCTTGGGGTGTTAATGGGGGAACCCAGTTAACAAGACTTGTGTCCCTGAGCTAGGAAGTACAGTGCCTGCTCTCACTGTCACTCAAAGACTCATTAGCAAGACTGATATTGGTAGTATTCATATAAGTCCCGCGTGTGGTATTACGAATATTAACCCCGTGTATATTATAACCTCTACCAACCCCGTGTGCAGTATTACTGATGCTCTCTTCGAGGCCAACTAATTAAATTGTGTAAGAAAGGAAAATAACTTAATTTTAGTATATTTATGCCCGTGTGTTGTACGCAGGAAGCTGAGGAGAGGCGGCAGCAGCAGCTGCGCTCAGCCATCAAAGAGGCGTCAGAGCGAGCCAAGAAGGAGAAGACTGCCAGCAAGTATGGTCATGTCCGCTCACTGTCCTCGGTGAGTAGGCTCGTTACTTGTGACAAACACAGTGTGTGTAGTAGTGTGCTTTACACACTGTCAGTGTGTGTAGTAGTGTGCCTCACACACTGCCAGTATGTGTAGTAGTAGTGTGCCTCATACACTGTCAGTGTATGTAGTAGTGTGCCTCACAAACTGCCAGTATGTGTAGTAGTAGTGTGCCTCATACACTGTCAGTGTATGTAGTAGTGTGCCTCACACATTGTTAGTGTGTGTAGTAGTGTGCCTCACACACTGCCAGTATGTGTAGTAGTAGTGTGCCTCATACACTGTCAGTGTATGTAGTAGTGTGCCTCACACACTGTCAGTGTATGTAGTAGTGTGCCTCACACACTGTCAGTGTATGTAGTAGTGTGCCTCACACACTGCCAGTATGTGTAGTAGTAGTGTGCCTCACACACTGTTAGTGTGTGTAGTAGTGTGCCTCACACATTGTTAGTGTGTGTAGTAGTGTGCCTCACACACTGCCAGTATGTGTAGTAGTAGTGTGCCTCACACACTGTTAGTGTGTGTAGTAGTGTGCCTCACACACTGTCAGTGTTTGTATATACAATGGCTTGTATTCTTTACATAAACAAAGCACTGGATTCTTGTCCACTTGATATTACATATTCATGTTGTTCATCTCTGGTCTCAAGGGACTTACCAGTTTGTCCTACATAAAAGGTATCACAACTTTTACAAGGGATGGAGTACACACTACCCAAAGATCCTTTTGGATAATTTTTCATTAAATTTTACGGTACTGTCATATTTAAAGACAATTTTAACATTAAATTATTGAAGAGCTTGTAGGAGAATGACAGAGATTTTCACTGTATGGTAAAGCCAACAGATTATAAAGCTTATATTCGTGTTAAGCTCTGTCTTGAAGAATGGTTTTTAGAGCTTTATGAAAAGCTTATCAATAAATATTAGACGCTGGTATACATATCTACGTGAACTTAAATTAGACGCTGGTATACATATCTACGAGAACTTAAATTAGACGCTGGTATACATATCTACGAGAACTTAAATTAGACGCTGGTATACATATCTACGAGAACTTAAATTAGACGCTGGTATACATATCTACGAGAACTTAAATTAGACGCTGGTATACATATCTACGTGAACTTAAATTAGACGCTGGTATACATATCTACGTGAACTTAAATTAGACGCTGGTATACATATCTACGAGAACTTAAATTAGACGCTGGTATACATATCTACGAGACTTAAATTAGATGCTGGTATACATATCTACGTGAACTTAAATTAGACGCTGGTATACATATCTACGAGAACTTAAATTAGACGCTGGTATACATATCTACGAGAACTTAAATTAGACGCTGGTATACATATCTACGAGAACTTAAATTAGATGCTGGTATACATATCTACGTGAACTTAAATTAGACGCTGGTATACATATCTACGAGAACTTAAATTAGACGCTGGCATACACTTCTACGAGATCTTAGACCCTGGCATGTACTTCTACGAGAACCTAGTAATTATATCCACCTGAATTTGTTCTTTTGAAATATTAAATATGAGTGTTAGAACTACGACGACAGCCGGTGTTGTTGATGTGTCAGAACTACGACTACAGCCGGTGTTGTTGATGACCAGACTCACTGGGAGACGATGTGTCAGCACTACGACTACAGCCGGTGTTGTTGATGTGTCAGAACTACGACTACAGCCGGTGTTGTCGATGACCAGACTCACAGGGAGACGATGTGTCAGAACTACGACTACTGCCGGTGTTGTTGACGACGAGACTCACAGGAGACGATATAACAGAAGAAGTCCAAGCAGAAGGGGCCCAAGACTGTTCAACTGCCTCCCAGCATACCTATGGAGGATTACCAATAGACCCCTGGCTGTCTTCAAGACCCCTGGCTGTCTTCAAGACCCATGGCTGACTTCAAGACCCCTGGCTGTCATCAAGACCCCTGGCTGTCTTCAACACCCCTGGCTGTCATCAAGACCCCTGGCTGTCTTCAAGACCCCTACCTGTCTTCAAAAGGGAGCCGGACGGGCACCTAAAGTCAGTACCTGACCAGCCGGGCTGTGGTTCCTACGTTGGTTTGCGTGCTGCCAGCAGTAACAGCCTGGTTGCTCAGGCCCTGATCCACCGCGAGGCCTGGCCATGGACCGGGCCGCGGGGGCGTTGACCCCCGAAACCCACACCAGGTATACTCCAGGTATGAGTTAATGTATACAGTAATCAAACACACACATATACGGTATTCAGTATTTTCTGACATTCTTTCTTGTGTTGTGCGTAATTTGTGTTGTGTATCAAATGATCAGAATTCCCTTGCTTACAGAGTGGCCCGCTACCTGAAGTACGGGAAGAAGGTGACGAGGCTGCCTCGCTCAGCCCTCGATCAGCTACCACACCCAGACAACGACATCAACACCGCAGACAACTGTCACAGCAAGAACCCATACAACAGTCTTCTGTCAGTGAGCATCATCAACAGCTCGTACAGCCAGAACAGCAACAGCAACAGCAGCCACAAACACAGCCTCAACAACAGCTCCAAGAAGGGCCACAACCAACAACGCAACAAAAGGTAAACACAGATTTTAGGAAGTATTTCTTCAGTCACAGAGTTGTCAGGCAGTGGAATAGTATGGAAAGTGAGGTGGTGGAGGCAGGATCCATACACAGTTTTAAGAAGAGGTATGATAAAACTCACAGAGCAGGTAGTGACCCAGTAGTGACCAATGAAGAGGCGGGACCAGGAGCTATGAATTGACCCCTGCAACTACAATTAGGTGAGTACACACACACACGCACACGCACAACGATGACCTTGGGGTGAGTATCACACCGAGCATATCTCCTGAGACGCACATCAACCAGTAACTGCCGCAGCACCAAAATAACTTTTTAAAGCCTGGTAAAGCGTCCAGTCCCAAGAACATGACCTTAGAAAACTGGGAACAAATTTCAGACACCTGAGTTAATATCCTCTTTTGATTCAATCACCAGTTGTAACACAACGTTGCCTCGTCACTACGAAGGTGAAAAAACACGGCACTGTATCCGTTTCTGACACTTGCCAAACATGACTTGGCTAAGTAAGGCTGGGGAGGCCATCATTCTTATTTATGGAACTTGCACCACAAAAATTACTTTAATAAATACGAAAGTTATGGTAAAAGACTCTTATGGCATTAATTAAAAGTGAAATATTGATTTTAAAAAATGTCTTGAAGTATACTTGTGTATATACACGGCAGATTGTATTTTAACCCTTTTTAAGGCATTTAAAATATTCTTAGGTGTTAGTGAGCCGGTTGCAGGTGATAGGTGGTAGACCTGACGAAGTAACTAACTGGTGTTTCTTACAGGTGAGCGGAGACTGTGAGGAGCTGGCAGTGCTGCTACGTACACTGGGACTCACGCCGGAGACGCTGCTGGCGTCCTCTGGCCGAGGCGCTCTCCTCACCCTCCTCCAGGCTGTCTCAGGTCTGCTCTCTCCCACACATGTCTATGTTGCTTCTGACAGCTGTCTTTGCTGCTTCCATACGTGTCCGTTATGTCCCTCACACCTTTCGGTTGTATCTCCCTTGCACCTGTCTGCGCTGTTTCTTTACTCTTGCCCATGCTGTCCCCCTCCCACTTCTCTCTACGATGTCCCCACACACCCATGTACACTGTCCCTCCCTCCCATATATACTGTTCCCTATTGGTTACACTGCTAGCACAGTATATAAAACATACTGGTTACACTGCTAGCACAGTATATAAAACATACTGGTTACACTGCTAGCACAGTATATAAAACATACTGGTTACACTGCTAACACAGTATATAAAACCTACTAGTTACACTGCTAGCACGGTACATAAAACATACTAGTTACACTGCTAGCACGGTATATAAAACATACTAGTTACACTGCTAGCACGGTACATAAAACATACTAGTTACACTGCTAGCACGGTACATAAAACATACTAGTTACACTGCTAGCACGGTTTATAAAACATACTAGTTACACTGCTAGCACGGTACATAAAACATACTAGTTACACTGCTAGCACGGTATATAAAACATACTAGTTACACTGCTAGCACGGTTTATAAAACATACTAGTTACACTGCTAGCACGGTACATAAAACATACTAGTTACACTGCTAGCACGGTATATAAAACATACTAGTTACACTGCTAGCACGGTATATAAAACATATTAGTTACACTGCTAGCACGGTACATAAAACATACTAGTTACACTGCTAGCACGGTATATAAAACATACTAGTTACACTGCTAGCACGGTTTATAAAACATACTAGTTACACTGCTAGCACGGTTTATAAAACATACTAGTTACACTGCTAGCACGGTACATAAAACATACTAGTTACACTGCTAGCACGGTACATAAAACATACTAGTTACACTGCTAGCACGGTATATAAAACATACTAGTTACACTGCTAGCACGGTTTATAAAACATACTAGTTACACTGCTAGCACGGTACAAAACATACTAGTTACACTGCTAGCACGGTATTTAAAACATACTAGTTACACTGCTAGCACGGTTTATAAAAACATACTAGTTACACTGCTAGCACGGTACATAAAACATACTAGTTACACTGCTAGCACGGTATATAAAACATACTAGTTACACTGCTAGCACGGTATATAAAACATACTAGTTACACTGCTAGCACGGTATATAAAACATACTAGTTACACTGCTAGCACGGTACTATAAAACATACTAGTTACACTGCTAGCACGGTATATAAAACATACTAGTTACACTGCTAGCACGGTTTATAAAACATACTAGTTACACTGCTAGCACGGTACATAAAACATACTAGTTACACTGCTGGCACGGTATATAAAACATACTAGTTACACTGCTAGCACGGTATATAAAACATACTAGTTACACTGCTAGCACGGTACATAAAACATACTAGTTACACTGCTAGCACGGTACATAAAACATACTAGTTACACTGCTAGCACGGTATATAAAACATACTAGTTACACTGCTAGCACGGTACATAAAACATACTAGTTACACTGCTAGCACGGTATATAAAACATACTAGTTACACTGCTAGCAGGATATATAAAACTATCTTACAACATAGCAAGATTAAACCAGTCAAGCAGCCAAACAGTCACACTGGTGTTTAGTGGTCACATAAAAATCACTGTTCATGTTCACACAGTTGAAGCTTATACAGTTACCCGTGTTTTATTCATGGGAATATTACAGTCTGGAACTACAGTATCGATGGTAGAAGTGTTTCTTCTTCTCCGGCTCACCTGCCTCGGTGGGAGACGGCCCATATGTTGAAATTAAAAAATATACGAGACTGATGGTACAGAAATGGATGTAGATTTTTGTTCCAATGGAAATCATTTTGAAAAACTGCAAAGTTGATATTGTGTGTTTATGTACAAGACAATCTGAATAATACATTGTGTGACGACTTCCAAATGTTCAACACAGAAGTAAGAATCTGTAGATACAATCACCGAAAATTTAACATGTCTTCTTCTACTGAAGTTTATTTTATACTCTGTTTCAGACATTAAGTTTTCTTGTACAGGTTGACGGAAGGAAGTTGTAATATTTATACAGTTTTGTAACTTACCAGATCATTCATTGTTACTGTCAGTAGATACACTCACGTCTTCTACAACTGACAACTAGCAAAATAATTAGTCTTTCTAACAAGCACACACGAAAAAAAAAATTACATGAAAAACTGAGTTTGTCATAATAATGAAAAACAACCATTTAATATAAAGAACCAGAAGATCCCCCAGACCTTCCCCAGGGTTAATATATGACCCCAGACCTTCCCCAGGGTTAATATATGACCCCAGACCTTCCCCAGGGTTAATATATGACCCCAGACCTTCCCCAGGGTTAATATATAACCCCAGACCTTCCCCAGGGTTAATATATGACCCCAGACCTTCCCCAGGGTTAATATATGACCCCAGACCTTCCCCAGGTTAATATATGACCCCAGACCTTCCCCAGGGTTAATATATGACCCCAGACCTTCCCAGGGTTAATATATAACCCCAGACCTTCCCCAGGGTTAATATGATGACCACAGACCTTCCCCAGGGTTAATATATGACCCCAGACCTTCCCCAGGGTTAATATATGACCCCAGACCTTCCCCAGGGTTAATATATATACCCCAGACCTTCCCCAGGGTTAATATATGACCCCAGACCTTCCCCAGGGTTAATATATGACCCCAGACCTTCCCCAGGGTTAATATATAACCCCAGAACTTCCCCAGAGTTAATATATGACCCCAGACCTTCCCCAGGGTTAATATATGACCCCAGACCTTCCCCAGGGTTAATATATGACCCCAGACCTTCCCCAGGGTTAATATATGACCCCAGACCTTCCCCAGGGTTAATATATACCCCAGACCTTCCCCAGGGTTAATATATGACCCCAGACCTTCCCCAGGGTTAATATATAACCCCAGACCTTCCCCAGGGTTAATATATGACCCCAGACCTTCCCCAGGGTTAATATATGACCCCAGACCTTCCCCAGGGTTAATATATGACCCCAGACCTTCCCCAGGGTTAATATATAACCTCAGACCTTCCCCAGGGTTAATATATGACCCCAGACCTTCCCCAGGGTTAATATATGACCCCAGACATTCCCCAGGGTAATATATATAACCCCAGAACTTCCCCAGGGTTAATATATGACCCCACACATTCCCCAGGGTTAATATATGACCCCAGACCTTCCCCAGGGTTAATATATAACCCCAGAAACTTCCCCAGGTTAATATATGACCCCAGACCTTCCCCAGAGTTAATATATGACCCCAGACCTTCCCCAGGGTTAATATATGAACCCCAGACCTTCCCCAGGGTTAATATATGACCCAGACCTTCCCCAGGGTTAATATATAAACCCAGAACTTCCCCAGGGTTAATATATGACCCCAGACCTTCCCCAGGGTTAATATATGACCCCAGACCTTCCCCAGGGTTAATATATAACCCCAGAACTTCCCCAGGGTTAATATATGACCCCAGACCTTCCCCAGGGTTAATATATGACCCCAGACCTTCCCCAGGGTTAATATATAACCCCAGAAACTTCCCCAGGGTTAATATATGACCCCAGACCTTCCCCAGGGTTAGTATATGACCCCAGACCTTCCCCAGGGTTAATATATGACCCCAGAACTTCCCCAGGGTTAATATATGACCCCAGACCTTCCCCAGGGTTAATATATGACCACAGGCCTTCCACAGGGTTAATATATGACCCCAGACCTTCCCCAGGGTTAATATATGGCCCCAGACCTTCCCCAGGGTTAATATATAACCCCAGACCTTCCCCAGGGTTAATATATAACCCCAGACCTTCCCCAGGGTTAATATATAACCCCAGACCTTCCCCAGGGTTAATATATGACCCCAGACCTTCCCCAGGGTTAATATATGACCCCAGACCTTCCCCAGGGTTAATATATAACCCCAGACCTTCCCCAGGGTTAATATATAACCCCAGACCTTCCCAGGGTTAATATATAACCCCAGACCTTCCCAGGATTAATATATAACCCCAGACCTTCCCCAGGGTTAATATATAACCCCAGAACTTCCCAGGGTTAATATATGACCCCAGACCTTCCCCAGGGTTAATATATGACCCCAGACCTTCCCCAGGGTTAATATATAACCCCAGAACTTCCCCAGGGTTAATATATGACCCCAGACCTTCCCCAGGGTTAATATATGACCCCAGACCTTCCCCAGGGTTAATATATAACCCCAGAACTTCCCCAGGGTTAATATATGACCCCAGACCTTCCCCAGGGTTAATATATGACCCCAGACCTTCCCCAGGGTTAATATATGACCCCAGAACTTCCCCAGGGTTAATATATGACCCCAGACCTTCCCCAGGGTTAATATATGACCCCAGACCTTCCCCAGGGTTAATATATGACCCCAGACCTTCCCCAGGGTTAATATATGGCCCCAGACCTTCCCCAGGGTTAATATATGACCCCAGACCTTCCCCAGGGTTAATATATGACCCCAGACCTTCCCCAGTGTTAATATATAACCCCAGACCTTCCCCAGGGTTAATATATAACCCCAGACCTTCCCCATGGTTAATATATAACCCCAGACCTTCCCAGGATTAATATATAACCCCAGACCTTCCCCAGGGTTAATATATATAACCCCAGAACTTCCCCAGGGTTAATATATAACCCCAGACCTTCTCCAGGGTTAATATATAACCCCAGAACTTCCCCAGGGTTAATATATAACCCCAGACCTTCCCCAGTGTTAATATATAACCCCAGAACTTCCCCAGGGTTAATATATAACCCCAGACCTTTCCCCAGGTTAATATATAACCCCAGAACTTCCCCAGGGTTAATATATAACCCCAGACCTTCCCCAGGGTTAATATGTAACCCCAGAACTTCCCCAGGGTTAATATAAACCCCAGACCTTCCCATGGTTAATATGTAACCCAGAACTTCCCCAGGGTTAATATATAACCCCAGACCTTCCCCAGGGTTTAATATATAACCCCAGAACTTCCCCAGGGTTAATATATAACCCCAGACCTTCCCCATGGTTAATATATAACCCCAGAACTTCCCCAGGGTTAATATATAACCCCAGACCTTCCCCAGGGTTAATATATAACCCCAGAACTTCCCCAGGGTTAATATATAACCCCAGACCTTCCCCAGGGTTAATATGTAACCCCAGAACTTCCCCAGGGTTAATATATAACCCCAGACCTTCCCCATGGTTAATATATGACCCCAGAACTTCCCCAGGGTTAATATATAACCCCAGACCTTCCCCATGGTTAATATATAACCCCAGAACTTCCCCAGGGTTAATATATAACCCCAGACCTTCCCCAGGGTTAATATATGACCCCAGACCTTCCCCAGTGTTAATATATAACCCCAGACCTTCCCCAGGGTTAATATATAACCCCAGACCTTCCCCATGGTTAATATATAACCCCAGACCTTCCCCAGGATTAATATATAACCCCAGACCTTCCCAAGAGTTAATATATAACCCCAGAACTTCCCCAGGGTTAATATATAACCCCAGACCTTCTCCAGGTTAATATAAACCCCAGAACTTCCCCAGGGTTAATATATAACCCCAGACCTTCCCCAGTGTTAATATATAACCCCAGAACTTCCCCAGGGTTAATATATAACCCCAGACCTTCCCCAGGGTTAATATATAACCCCAGAACTTCCCCAGGGTTAATATATAACCCCAGACCTTCCCCAGGGTTAATATGTAACCCCAGAACTTCCCCAGGGTTAATATATAACCCCAGACCTTCCCCATGGTTAATATGTAACCCCAGAACTTCCCCAGGGTTAATATATAACCCCAGACCTTCCCCAGGGTTAATATATAACCCCAGAACTTCCCCAGGGTTAATATATAACCCCAGACCTTCCCCATGGTTAATATATAACCCCAGAACTTCCCCAGGTTAATATATAACCCCAGAACCTTCCCAGGGTTAATATATAACCCCAGAACTTCCCCAGGGTTAATATATAACCCCAGACCTTCCCCAGGGTTAATATGTAACCCCAGAACTTCCCCAGGGTTAATATATAACCCCAGACCTTCCCCATGGTTAATATATGACCCCAGAACTTCCCCAGGGTTAATATATAACCCCAGACCTTCCCCATGGTTAATATATAACCCCAGAACTTCCCCAGGGTTAATATATAACCCCAGACCTTCCCCAGGGTTAATATGTAACCCCAGAACTTCCCCAGGGTTAATATATAACCCCAGACCTTCCCCATGGTTAATATATGACCCCAGACCTTCCCCAGGGTTAATATATGACCCCAGACCTTCCCCAGGTTAATATTAACCCCAGAACTTCCCCAGGGTTAATATATAACCCCAGACCTTCCCCAGGGTTAATATATAACCCCAGAACTTCCCCAGGGTTAATATATAACCCCAGACCTTCCCCAGGGTTAATATATAACCCCAGAACTTCCCCAGGGTTAATATATAACCCCAGAACTTCCCCAGGGTTAATATATAACCCCAGACCTTCCCCAGGGTTAATATATAACCCCAGAACTTCCCCAGGGTTAATATATAACCCCAGAACTTCTCCAGGGTTAATATATAACCCCAGACCTTCCCCAGGGTTAATATATGACCCCAGAACTTCCTCAGGGTTAATATATAACCCCAGACCTTCCCCAGGGTTAATATATAACCCCAGACCTTCCCCAGGGTTATTATATGACCCCAGAACTTCCCCAGGGTTATTATATGACCCCAGAACTTCCCAGGGGTTAATATATGTCCCCAGACCTTCCCCAGGGTTATTACATAACCCCAGAACTTCCCCAGGGTTATTATATGACCCCAGAACTTCCCAGGGGTTAATATATGACCCCAGACCTTCCCCAGGGTTAATATATAACCCCAGAACTTCCCCAGGGTTATTATATGACCCCAGAACTTCCCAAGGGTTAATATATGACCCGAGAACTTCCTCAGAGATAATATATAACCTAAGAACTTCCCCAAGGTTCCTACATGACCCCAGATACAGTATGAAGGTGAATCACTGATCTGCAAGAAACAGAAGCATTTAAAATTATTATTCTAAATATTTTAATGCAATTTACTCTGCAGAACAAACTACATGGGATGGAAATCCTTAGCTTCAGATCTTTCGCACTCTCGTGCGTCGTCAGGAGCTATGCAATGTTGCAAGACAGCAACAGATAGGAGGGTGAATTCCCTGAAGCAAGGCAGAAGGTAATAGTGACAACCCATGTCACATGACAACCCATGTCACATGACAACCCATGTCACATGACAACCCATTTCACATGACAACCCATGTCACATGACAACCCATGTCACATGACAACCCATGTCACTTGACAACCCATGTCACTTGACAACCCATGTCACATGACAACCCATGTCACATGACAACCCATGTCTTACAACACTGTATAGCTCCTGACGGCGCACGAGAGTGCGAAAGATCTACAGCTAAAGATGTCCATCTACATGTGACTTGTTCTTCATTGTTAAGATCGCCTGTTTGTGATTGTATTGCAGTAATTTACTCTTAGCATTTTCACTTCATGTTTTAAGAGACTTAGTAAGTGTTGTTGAGAGTGATCTGGATGTTGCTGTGTTACTCTCAGGTCCGCGTCTGTCACCACTGGACTACCAGGCAGACTATATTACCAACCGTGTCATCACACCAACAAAGTACCGTGGCCCTCCTTCTAGAGAGTGTGGCACCCAGTGTGATGACTCCCCACCTGGCAGGTGAGTGTGGCACCCAGTGTGATGACTCCCCACCTGGCAGGTGAGTGTGGTACCCAGTGTGATGACTCCCCACCTGGCAGGTGAGTGTGATACCCAGTGTGATGACTCCCCACCTGGCAGGTGAGTGTGGCACCCAGTGTGATGACTCCCCACCTGGCAGGTGAGTGTGATACCCAGTGTGATGACTCCCCACCTGGCAGGTGAGTGTGGTACCCAGTGTGATGACTCCCCACCTGGCAGTGATGGAACCAGTGTGATGACTCCCCACCTGGCAGGTGAGTGTGGCACCCAGTGTGATGACTCCCACCTGGCAGGTGAGTGTGCACCCATTGTGATGACTCCCCACCTGGCAGTAGTGGATACCCATGTGATGACTCCACCTGGCAGGTGTGTGGCACCCAGTGTGATGACTCCCACCTGGCAGAGGTGACCCAGTGTGATGACTCCCCACCTGGCAGGTGAGTGTGATACCCAGTGTGATGACTCCCCACCTGGCAGTGAGTGTGACCCAGTGTGATGACTCCCCACCTGGCAGGGATGTGACCAGTGTGATGACTCCCCACCTGGCAGGTGAGTGTGACCGTGGATGACTCCCCACCTGGCAGGTGAGTGGACAGTGTGATGACTCCCCACCTGGCAGGTGAGTGTGTACCCAGTGTGATGACTCCCCACCTGGCAGGTGAGTGTGATACCCAGTGTGATGACTCCCACCTGGCAGGTGAGTGTGATACCCAGTGTGATGACTCCCCACCTGGCAGGTGAGTGTGATACCCAGTGTGATGACTCCCACCTGGCAGGTGAGTGTGATACCCAGTGTGATGACTCCCACCTGGCGGTGAGTGTGTCATGTGATGACTCCCCACCTGCAGGTGAGTGTGATGATCTCCCCACCTGGCAGGTGAGTGTGGCACCCAGTGTGATGACTCCCACCTGGCAGGTGAGTGTGTACCCAGTGTGATGACTCCCCACCTGGCAGAGTGAGTGTGAGACCCAGTGTGATGACTCCCACCTGGCAGTGTGAATCCAGTGTGAGATACCCAGTGTGATGACTCCCCACCTGGCAAGTGAGTGTGAACACCAGTGTGATGACTCCCCACCTGGCAAGTGAGTGTGATACACAATGGGATGACTCCCCACCTGGCAAGTGAGTGTGATACCCAGTGTGATGACTCCCACCTGGCAGGTGAGTGTGATACCCAGTGTGATGACTCCCCACCTGGCAGGTGAGTGTGATACCCAGTGTGATGACTCCCACCTGCAGGTGAGTTGTAGTGTGATGACTCCCCACCTGGCAGGTGAGTGTGGCACCCAGTGTGATGACTCCCACCTGGCAGGTGAGTGTGATACCCAGTGTGATGACTCCCCACCTGGCAAGGTGAGTGTGATACCCAGTGTGATGACTCCCACCTGGCAGGTGAGTGTGATACCCAGTGTGATGACTCCCCACCTGGCAGGTGAGTGTGATGACTCCCCACCTGGCAGGTGAGTGTGGCACCCAGTGTGATGACTCCCCACCTGGCAAGTGAGTGTGATACCCAGTGGATGACTCCCACCGGGCAGGGAGTGACCATGTGAGACTCCCACCTGGCAGGTGAGTGTGGCACCCAGTGTGATGACTCCCCACCTGGCAGGTGAGTGTGACACCCAGTGTGATGACTCCCCACCTGGCAGGTGAGTGTGGCACCCAGTGTGATGACTCCCCACCTGGCAGGTGAGTGTCTGTGAACCCCATGCAGTAGTGTGATGACTCCCCACCTGGCAAGGTGAGTGTGGCACCCAGTGTGATGACTCCCCACCTGGCAGGTGAGTGTGATGACTCCCCACCTGGCAGGTGAGTGTGATACCCAGTGTGATGACTCCCACCTGGCAGGTGAGTGTGGTACCCAGTGTGATGACTCCCCACCTGGCAGGTGAGTGTGGCACCCAGTGTGATGACTCCCCACCTGGCAGGTGAGTGTGACCAGTGTGATGACTCCCCACCTGGCAGGTGAGTGTGATACCCAGTGTGATGACTCCCCACCTGGCAGGTGAGTGTGGCACCCAGTGTGATGACTCCCCACCTGGCAGGTGAGTGTGATGACTCCCCACCTGGCAGGTGAGTGTGATGACTCCCCACCTGGCAGGTGAGTGTGGCACCCAGTGTGATGACTCCCCACCTGGCAGGTGAGTGTGATGACTCCCCACCTGGCAAGTGAGTGTGGATACCCAGTGTGATGACTCCCCACCTGGCAGGTGAGTGTGGCACCCAGTGTGATGACTCCCACCTGGCAAGTGAGTGTGATACCCAGTGTGATGACTCCCCACCTGGCAGGTGAGTGTGGTACCCAGTGTGATGACTCCCCACTGGCAGGTGAGTGTGGCACCCAGTGTGATGACTCCCACCTGGCAGGTGAGTGTGGCACCCAGTGTGATGACTCCCCACCTGGCAGGTGAGTGTGGCACCCAGTGTGATGACTCCCCACCTGGCAGGTGAGTGTGGCACCCAGTGTGATGACTCCCCACCTGGCAGGTGAGTGTGATGACTCCCCACCTGGCAGGTGAGTGTGATGACTCCCCACCTGGCAAGTGAGTGTGATACCCAGTGTGATGACTCCCACCTGGCAGGTGAGTGTGATACCCAGTGTGATGACTCCCACCTGGCAGGTGAGTGTGGCACCCAGTGTGATGACTCCCACCTGGCAGGTGAGTGTGGCACCCAGTGTGATGACTCCCACCTGGCAGGTGAGTGTGGCACCCAGTGTGATGACTCCCACCTGGCAGGTGAGTGTTGACTACCCCAGTGTGATGACTCCCCACCTGGCAGTGAGTGTTGAACCCAGTGTGATGACTCCCACCTGGCAGGTGAGTGTGCACCCAGTGTGATGACTCCCCACCTGGCAGGTGAGTGTGCACCCAGTGTGATGACTCCCCACCTGGCAGGTGAGTGTGGCACCCAGTGTGATGACTCCCACCTGGCAGGTGAGTGTGGCACCCAGTGTGATGACTCCCCACCTGGCAGGTGAGTGTGGCACCCAGTGTGATGACTCCCCACCTGGCAGGTGAGTGTGGCACCCAGTGTGATGACTCCCCACCTGGCAGGTGAGTGTGCACCCAGTGTGATGACTCCCCACCTGGCAGGTGAGTGTGGCACCCAGTGTGATGACTCCCCACCTGGCAGGTGAGTGTGGCACCCAGTGTGATGACTCCCCACCTGGCAGGTGATGTGGTACCAGTGTGAGACCCCCTGGCAGGTGAGTGGATGACTCCCACCTGGCATGAGTGATGCACTGGCACAGTGTGATGACTCCCCACCTGGCAGGTGAGTGTGGATACCCAGTGTGATGACTCCCCACCTGGCAGGTGAGTGTGCACCAGTGTGATGACTCCCCACCTGGCAGGTGAGTGTGATACCCAGTGTGATGACTCCCACCTGGCAGGTGAGTGATGCACCCAGTGTGATGACTCCCACCTGGCAGGTGAGTGTGCACCAGTGTGATGACTCCCCACCTGGCAGGTGAGTGTGGCACCCAGTGTGATGACTCCCCACCTGGCAGGTGAGTGTGGCACCCAGTGTGATGACTCCCCACCTGGCAGGTGAGTGTTGCACCCAGTGTGATGACTCCCCACCTGGCAGGTGAGTGTGGCACCCAGTGTGATGACTCCCACCTGGCAGGTGAGTGTGCACCCAGTGTGATGACTCCCCACCTGGCAGAGTGAAGTGACTCCCACCTGCAGGTGATGTGATGACTCCCCACCTGGCAGGTGAGTGTGGCACCCAGTGTGATGACTCCCCACCTGGCAGGTGAGTGTGGCACCCAGTGTGATGACTCCCCACCTGGCAGGTGAGTGTGGCACCCAGTGTGATGACTCCCCACCTGGCAGGTGAGTGTGTGCACCAGTGTGATGACTCCCCACCTGGCAGGTGAGTGTGGCACCCAGTGTGATGACTCCCACCTGGCAGGTGAGTGTGATACCCAGTGTGATGACTCCCCACCTGGCAGGTGAGTGTGGCACCCAGTGTGATGACTCCCACCTGGCAGGTGAGTGTGATACCCAGTGTGATGACTCCCACCTGGCAGGTGAGTGTGATACCCAGTGTGATGACTCCCCACCTGGCAGGTGAGTATGGCACCCAGTGTGATGACTCCCCACCTGGCAGGTGATGTATGACCCAGTGTGATGACCTCCCCACCTGGCAGGTGAGTGTGGCACCCAGTGTGATGACTCCCACCTGGCAGGTGAGTGTTGACCCAGTGTGATGACTCCCACCTGGCAGGTGAGTGTGCACCCAGTGTGATGACTCCCACCTGGCAGGTGAGTGTGCACCCAGTGTGATGACTCCCCACCTGGCAGGTGAGTGTGGCACCCAGTGTGATGACTCCCCACCTGGCAGGTGAGTGTGGCACCCAGTGTGATGACTCCCACCTGCAGGTGAGTGTTGCACCCAGTGTGATGACTCCCACCTGCAGGTGAGTGTGGCACCCAGTGTGATGACTCCCCACCTGGCAGGTGAGTTGGCAACCCAGTGTGATGACTCCCCACCTGGCAGGTGAGTGTGTCACCCAGTGTGATGACTCCCCACCTGGCAGGTGAGTGTGGACCCAGTGTGATGACTCCCACCTGCAGGTGAGTAGGGACACCCAGTGTGATGACTCCCACCTGCAGGTGAGTGTGGCACCCAGTGTGATGACTCCCCACCTGGCAGGTGAGTGTGGCACCCAGTGTGATGACTCCCACCTGGCAGGTGATATGGCACCCAGTGTGATGACTCCCACCTGGCAGGTGAGTGTGTGAACCCAGTGTGATGACTCCCCACCTGGCAGTGTGAGTGTGGCACCCAGTGTGATGACTCCCCACCTGGCAGGTGAGTGTGTACACCAGTGTGATGACTCCCCACCTGGCAGGTGAGTGTGGCACCCAGTGTGATGACTCCCACCTGGCAGGTGAGTGTGGCACCCAGTGTGATGACTCCCCACCTGGCAGGTGAGTGTGGCACCCAGTGTGATGACTCCCCACCTGGC